TTTTTTTATACTTAATATCTCTTGTGCTTTACGGCAAAAAATTAATTATTATGTACACACCCCGATGCCGTTTGTGATGAGTTTTTCATTCCTAATCAAACGAGGGGCGGAGTTTAATTGTAACATATTATTTCTCTAGAAAATTCTACCCTTTTAAAAACATATATTTATAGTAATTTCTTGTAAGAGAAATGAGGATTTTGCAACTAAACTTCGCCCTTCAGCTCACAATGAATAAAATATTCATCACAATTGAAAAGGGGTGGGTGGGCGGGGCTTATATTTTGTCCACTTTTCCTTAATATACGAAGTCTTCTTTTCTCAACAAGAAACTGAAAACATGTTTAACTATTCTGTTATTGAAAGAAAATTCTCTCTATTAAAAAAACGCAAAGATTAAGCCCCACCCACCCGCTCCAGCCTCAATTGTGATGATTTTTTTATTCGTTGTTAGACCGAGGGGCGGAGCGTAATCGCAAAATACATACTTCTCTATTGATTTGAATGAGTTTGTCTTCTCAAAACAGAGGACTAAAATTATTAATTAAATCACAATCAAACAAAATGCATCTAGGCATCTTTGTAACTTTTGGAAGCCCATTGAGATTTTTTTTTTTTAAATTATTTAAAACAATTTTGGGGGACTTTGGCGTTCTATTTTTGGAAAATTCTAATCTGACCTGTTTTTGAGTTGATTTTGGGATACCTTTTCTCTAATTTTGGAAAATTTAAAACAATCTTGAGGTTCTAGGTATTCTTGTTTGGAAAGAATTTGAAAGTGCCTTGGGGTCTAGTGTCTTTTCTTATAATAATTAAATTAAATTTCTTAGAGCATAAGTCATTTGCCAAAATCGGTCTTATTTTAGCTACTAAGCCAAATCAGTCTTTTCTTAGTAAATACCAGCCCCGTCCACTCGCCCTTCATTTTCTTAGAGAGTTGGTCATTTGCCAATATCAGTCATAACTTAACAGGTACTAGCCCCGCCCACCCACCCTCTTTTTCTTAGAAGATATGTCATTTACTAAAATCTTAGAGGGATCTCATTAGCCAAAATCAGTCTTATCTTAGCAGGTACTAGCCCTCCAAGAAAATAAAGGGCGAGTGGGCGGACTAGTACTTGCTAAGATGAAACTGATATTGCCAAATGGCATACCTTCGAAGAAAATAAAGGGTGGGTGGGTGGGGCCAATGCTTGCCAAGATAAGACTGATTTCGCCAAATTATGTCCCTCTACCCTTCATTTTCTTAGAGGGTATAATGTCATCTGCAAAAATAATTTTTATCTTAGCAGGTACTAACCCCGCTCACCCGCCCTCTATTTTCTTAGCGGCATCTTATTTTCAAAAATCAGTCTTTCTTAGCAGGTGCTAGCCCCGCCCACCCACTGTATCTTTTCTTAGAGGAGATGTCATTTGCCAAAAATCATTCTTAACTTACCAGGTAATAGCCCCGCCCACCCACCCCCTCTGTTTTTGTTGTTTTGTTTTTGTTTATAATTTATAAATGTCTTATTAATTTTTTTGCGGTTTATTTATTAATGAAAAATAACAGCTTGTGGTATTAATAATTATGACTACTGGTTGGTATGGTTGTTGTCCTAAAAAAAAGTGGATTTCAGCCACCATTGTTACTAAGAAATCAGAAAGTAAGCCGAAGGTATTCACACATTAGGTGAATGCAGTGTTGCCAATTTTACTTTTATAAAATTACGTTTTATTCGTAATCTACATCATAAAGATTTTTCTTATTACCTTTTTGGGACTCCCGAAACCCCCATACATAGCGTACTGAAGAATTAATTCGCCATTTTCTAGACACCCGGTATAAACCAGGACAATCTGCTTTTTTAAAGTTGCAGCTATCATTGTCTGAATATAAAAAAAATTGGTCGAGAGTTGTTGCGACAGAACTTCCCTCGCTCCTGAAGTACAATGAAACATATCCAGCATTTTCGATTGGGCGCAAACTCAGAGGCGTCCGTCATCGTTTCTCTGTCATAGTGAACCTGTCCCTGTTTAGATTAGTGCCTAATGTCTCCGTCTGTTATTGTTTGCGATTTAAAAAAATAAATTTAAAACCACCCCCTTCTGAAGTGTGCATGTTACGCTACTGACTGACAGTCCGTTGTTAGATTCTAATGATTCACCATGTTGAACTTAAAATAATCCATCTCTAACAATCTAAGTGACGAAATAATACCACTACAGTCACGATCAGCGTTAAGAAGAACAGATATAGGTGTTTGAGGTTTAACAATGGAAAATACATCATATTCATCAGATTTTAAAAGAAATTTCAGTAAGTTTACACAACTTTGCCCTTTTTCGTCAGATAATAAGACAACTTTCTTTTTGATATTCATAGCCTTGGGAGTCTCAGGAGCTAGACTAGGTTGAATTGTTAACTTTGAGTTATTTAAGATTTTCTCACTGAGTTCGCAAACTACCATCAAATTCTGACTTTAATGAGTCAGTAAGGCAGTTTTAAGTTAAGGCACAATCATCAAATAAATTAGGTAGATACTTTTCTAATGAATTTACTTTTGGATTTTGTACGAGATTTTCTTTGCGAACGATTCTAAATGTCGATTTCAATTTATCAAACTCAGTCTGAAGAGAGGAACTAATAAGGGATTTTATGTCAACAGTCATAAACGACTCAGATAAACGGGATTTTACATGAGTGCGCAGATCATTACTAGTTTCAGATTTCCAATTATTAAATTCTGTTTTAATCGACTCGGAGATTACGGATTTCATGTCAACACGTAAATCGTCAAATAATTTAACCAAGTTATTCTGGACTGCTTTTACCATATGATCCATTGAATTAACTATAGGGTCTTTTAAGTCACTGAAATGCTGTTGAATATTAAATAAATCCATAGTCAAGGACAACATTTTCAACTCGAATTGTAAACAAGTAGTATGTAGAATCGTTGTGGCAAGGACCAAACATCCGTCAGAATAAAAAGTCGATCACCATGAAGCATTACCGAAAATCGGTCCTTCTCAGGACCACAACTAATAAATAATCTTTCGCATTGACCTCTAACGATGAATGAATACATAAATACACGAATGATAACCAGCAAAAAGTCGGTTTTAATTTTAATTGAAACTGAAGGTGTTGACAATAGGAAAATTCTAGTGGAGGGAACACACTCAAGAAGATCAACATTTATTTATTTGGATGAGACATGGATTTACCAAAGAGATTCTCCTGTGAAAATATGTAATGCCCTGTATCTGTTTATATATAAAATTTGCCATAAAGTTTATGGTCTCTTATCTAAAGTGGAAGTTCTACATTCCAACTGCCATTAAGATAACGGTACATAAAGCTCGCAACCAATGCACTTTATCCAACAGATTTCGCGATTGATACATAAATGCTGCACAGCTTACCATAAAATTTAGTCTCTTTGTTTATTTTGTTTAAGTCACCTTATTGAAATGTTATCTTAGTTTTTTTTAATCACTAACACTAGTTTTTTCTTTAATTATTATTATTTGTTAGGTGGAAAACAAATTAGAAAACTAAAGTTGTTCGGTTCTTTGGGTAGCATACCCTAAAATAAGTTTTAGCTATACAGAGTGTTTAGTTTTTGAGACAAACCACAAAACTTCGTTTTTTAAAAGAGAATACCCCATATATTTCTTGATAGTCTCATTAGTTTCTTCCTAGACTTTATAACCATAGCTTATTTTTAACGTGGCAACGTCGCAACGCAATTTCAAAAATAAATTGTTGTTATAAAGCTTTAAAAACCGGACACTCTATATAACTCGGTGACCTATTGGAGAAATTCTTTGACTTAGTATGATAGAACCCGTTAGTGGTTACAATTGAAAATTATTTTCAAATATACAGAAAGTTTCCTATCGTTGCATTTTTTTACGTAATAATTTCCCCTTTACATATATATTTAAATTTTATATTACAAAAAGGCAAAAAACCTAGAGTCAAAAGAACTTACTTAGAGATAAGTTCGAAAATGTCATGAAATAAGTTCTCCATTTGAAAAACATTACGCCAGATATAATCACCCTGTATAAATAAATTCAGACCTTTTTTTCAAAAAAAAAGAAGCTAAATCTGTATTAGTATAAAATTTTGGCCTTACCTTGTACATTTGAAATTAAGTGTGAAGTGAACTTCTCCAAAGAAAGTTAATCTAGCGACTTAGTATCGAGTAAATGTGAGCGAGCGAAGCGAGCGACGAATACAGTAATCGTATAGAAACACTTTCAAACGATAAATTTTACACAAAAATAAATTAAACTAAATCAGTAAAAGAAGTTTAATCCCCCTTTCTTTAAGATCATCCACCTATTCAACATATCGAAACCCCATCTCCTCCGCGAATTAAGAATGATTGATCACCCTTTGAATTAGCTCCTTTTTCCGCGCCTTCGATTCCACCTCCGCGACTAAGCCTCCCGCCAACTTGATTTATCACCTAGACAAAAAAGTCACAAAAATCGACTTACCTCTGCCCCCGGCAGCCTAGATCGCTGATTGTCGATTCGCCGATTGTAGAAAAATTATTACTTAAGTAACCGCTAGCGGCTTGAGCAAACGATGAACACAATAATGACGTCAGTGAAGCAACAGGCACGTATCGCACGGATTGCACCCGGCACAGGCCCGGACTCCGCACAGTCAAGCGAGAAAAATTTGAATTTCAATCGCTAACATAGGTTAGAACTGTTGATGATTGTTTACAGCGGTGACATTGCGCCGGATGCATCGAGATGGCGCTGCAGCTGCAGGGTGCCTGGGCCGGGGACGATCGATTGGGGCCGCAAGGTGCACGCGGGAAAGGCGGGCCGACTCGATTTGCGCTCAGCAACAATTTGGAGTGACGTCATTGAGTTAGTTAACTTGATAAATGAAAGTCTGGGGTTTATACATCAAACTTTATTGATCTGTAAATTTCCATAAGTTAAAATAGTTAAGTTTAACTAATACTAATTACAGCGTTATTATTCCCCCCTCGAAAATACACTAGTCTAAAGTCATCACCGCCATCGTCAGGTACTTGAAGTGTCAAAACGTCTCCACTACGTTCTGTATGATAAATTTTTAAGACACTTATGAATGCTGTCGGTGCACTCTTTCGAGAAAATTAGAACGGAGGTGCAGACCTAACCTCAAATTTATATAAACATTAACCTTATCATTACATATTTAAAAATTTAACATCGACAACAATGTAATTGAAAAATTCAACTATGATTATCACAAGTCTGATTTATAAAAAGTCAGTTTGAGTGCCACCGGAGTGTCACGTGGCCTCGTGCTCCTAACCTAACTTCAAACGAAAATTATGTCTCGCGTGCTGAGTCAAGAGGAACTCATACCGACTGTCATTTTTATAATCGATAAAGAAAAAGTGAGCGCCTCTAGCAACTTGATAAAAATGATAAAACGCCTCCTGCCTCACTTGAGTTGTACCAGCACCATGAAGTAGGTAACAACGGCACCCAGCACCTGCAACCGAACAAAGCGAAAGTCACTAGGTTTCACCAGACAGGGGAAATCCTCACCGAGGCGAACAAGTCCAGCGAAATCGTGAAGAACTTGGCGCCGGAGATCGACATGGCCTTCTGACATTGTTGACACACGATCTGGACGAAGGTTTTGGCCTCCTCGGAGCCGTCGTACCAGTGGCAGCTGTAGGCTGCTTCCATGACCGAGGAGCTTTCTTCGATGAGGCGGTTGCCGAAGATGCAGAAGTGAAATACTTGGGCTAGGGCGAAGAGGAGGTAGCCTATGACGGTTGCTGCGTACTTGTCGACTCCGGTGATTTTGGTGGCTTGGTAGGCGAGGAGGGTTAGCATGATGGTCGAGGTCAACATGTGGAGGAGGAGAGCCACACCGTAGGCGTCGCCGATGGCGGTTACCAACCTAAAAGGGAAAGTGTGTGTAAAGTTCCAGTTTGAATTCAGTTTCAATTTTTTCTTTTCATGATAATGGCAAATCCTTACAGAAATAGATTTTTATGGATTTTTCGAACTAAACTGGTGACAGTGTTTTTGATCTGCAATAACATTCAATTTTAAATATTTTTAAAATTTTGACGAATATTTGAAATCAAAATTAAACTCGAATGTGAGACATCTTTTCACACTGGCATTGTCTAGAAAGTCCAAAAATCGAAAGAAGACGCAAAACCCAAGAGAATCCTAGAAAATCCGAAAAATCCAAGAGAATCATTGAAAATTCGAGAAAATTCAAGAGAATCCGAAAAAATAACAAAAAAATGCAGAAGGTGTAAGTATACGAAAGAATACTCTAGAGTAAGAAAAAATCCAAGAACATCAGGGAGAATTCTGAAGAATCTGAGAGAATCCGAGAGAATCCTAAAGAATCCGAAGGACTTGAAGAGAATCCAGCAGAATCCGGAAGAATACGGGACAATACGAGAATTTACCGGAAAAATCCAAAAGTATTGGAGAGATCTCTGAAATAATCCGAGTGAATCCAACAGAATACGAAAAAATCAAAGAGAATTGGAGAGAATTCGGGGAAATCCTGAAGAATCCGAGAGAATATGAAAAAGTGCGAGAGAATACGGAAGAATACGAGAGAATTCAAAAAACTTTAGAAGACTCCTAGAGAATTCAAAAACATCAGAGAGAATTCGAAAGAATATGGAAGAATAGAAGAGAATCGTTGAGAGTTCAATGCAATCCGGAAGAATCCGGAACAACCCAAAAACCCCCAGGGAAAACGGTAATATCGAAAAGAATTTGCAAGAATCCAACAGAATCCGTAAAAGTCCGAGAGAATCCGAAAAAATAGGGAACGATACGAGAGATTACGAAAAAAATTAAGAGAGTCGGAGAGAATTCGAAAAAATCAAACAGAATCTGGATAAGTACGAAAAAATCCGAGAGACTCCTAGATAATCCGGTAAATTAAAAATAAAATAAATTCCGAAAGGAAATGCAAACATCCGGGGGAATCTGCAAGAATGCGAGAGAATACGAAAAAATCCAAGCGGTTCGGAGAGAATTCGGGGAAATCCTGAAGAATCCGGAAGAATATGAGAGAATACGGAAAAACACGAGAAAATTCGAAAAACTCTAGGCGATTCCTAGGGAATCCGATACAATCGAAAAAAATCCGAGAGAATTCGAAAGAATATGGAAGAATATTAGACAATACAAGGAACTCAAGAGGATCGTTGAGAATTCAAGACAATCCGGAAGAATCCGAAACATGAAGGACGAAAAGAATCAAAACGACGAAAAGGACGAAAAGGAGCAAAAGGACGAAAAGGACGAACAGGACGAAAAGGACAAAAAAGGACGAAAAAGATCAAAAGGACGAAAAGGACGAAAGGACGAAAAGTATCAAAAGGACGAAACGGACGAAAATGCCGAAAAGGATGAAAAGGACCAAAAGGACGAAAAGGACTACAAGGACGAAAAGGACGACAAGGACCAAAAGGGCAAAAAGGACGAAAAGTACGAACAGGACTAAAAGGAGGAAGAGGATCAAAAGACCAAAAGGACGAACAGGACGAACCGGACGAAAAGTACAAAAAGGACGAAAAGGATGAAAAGTACGAAAAGGACGAAACGGACGAATGGGATGAAAAGGACGAAAAGAACAGACCTTCAGAGAATACGGTAATATCGGGAAAAATTTGAAAGAATCCAACAGAATCCGTAAAAGTCCGAAAGAATCCGAGAAACTCAGAGGGAATCCGAAAAAATAGATAACAAAATGAGTGATAACGAAAAAATTCAAGAAAGTCGGAGAGATTTCGAAAGAATCAAACAGAATCTGAATAAGTACAAAAAAATCCAGGAGCCTCCTAGATAATCCGGTATATTCCAAAAGAAAATAAAAACATCCTAGGGAATCTGAAATAATCCGAAAGAATAGGGAACAAAACGAGAGATTACGAAAAAATTCAAGAGAGTCGGAGAGAATTCGAAAAAATCAAACAGAATCTGGATAAGTACGAAAAAATCCGAGAGACTGCTAGATAATCCGGTAAATTCCGAAAGAAAATGCAAACATCCGGGGAAATCTGCAAAAATACGAGAGAATACGAAAAAATCCAAGCGGTTCGGAGAGAATTCGGGGAAATCCTGAAGAATCCGGAAGAATATGAGAGAATACGGAAGAACACGAGAGAATTCGAAAAACTCTAGGCGACTCCTAGGGAATCCGATACAATCGAAAAAAATCCGAGAGAATTCGAAAGAATATGGAAGAATATTAGACAATACGAGGAACTCAAGAGGATCGTTGAGAATTCAAGACAATCCGGAAGAATCCGAAACATGAAGGACGAAAAGGACGAGAAGAATCAAAAGGACGAAAAGGACGAAAAGGAGCAAAAGGACGAAAAGGACGAACAGGACGAAAAGGACAAAAAAGGACGAAAAGGATCAAAAGGACGAAAAGGACGAAAAGGACGAAAAGTATCAAAAGGACGAAACGGACGAAAATGCCGAAAAGGATGAAAAGGACCAAAAGGACGAAAAGAACTACAAGGACGAAAAGGACGACAAGGACCAAAAGGGCGAAAAGGACGAAAAGAACGAAAATGAAAAAAAGGACGAAAAAGACGAAGAGGACGAAAAGGACAAACAGGACGAAAGGGACGAACAGGACGAAAATGACGAAAAAGATTACAAGGACGACAGGGGCCAAAAGGACCAAAAGGACCAAAAGGACGAAAAGGACTAAAAGGACCAAAAGAACGAAAAGAACGAAAAGGTCGAAAAGGATCAAAATGACGAACAGGACTAAAAGGAGGAAGAGGATCAAAAAGACCAAAAGGGCGAACAGGACTAACCGAACGAAAAGTACAAAATGGACGAAAAGGATGAAAAGTACGAAAAGGACGAAACGGACGAAAAGGATGAAAAGGACGAAAAGAACAGACCTTCAGAGAATACGGTAATATCGGGAAGAATTTGAAAGAATCCAACAGAATCCGTAAAAGTCCGAAAGAATCCGAGAAACTCAGAGGGAATCCGAAAGAATAGATAACAAAATGAGTGATAACGAAAAAATTCAAGAAAGTCGGAGAGATTTCGAAAGAATCAAACAGAATCTGAATAAGTACAAAAAAATCCAGGAGCCTCCTAGATAATCCGGTATATTCCAAAAGAAAATAAAAACATCCTAGGGAATCTGAAATAATCCGAAAGAATAGGGAACAAAACGAGAGATTACGAAAAAATTCAAGAGAGTCAGAAAGAATTTAAAGAATCAAACAGAATCTCTATAAATAGGAAAAAATCAGGGAGACTCCTAAATAATCCGGTAAATTCCGAAAGAAAATGCAAACATCCTGAGGAATCTGAAAGAATCCGACAGAATCCAAAAAAATCCGAGAGAATTCGAAGGAATATGGAAGAATATTAGAGAATACGAAGAACTCAAGAGAATCGTTGAGAATTCAAGACAATTCGGAAGAATATGAAAGGATATTAGAGAAAACGAAGAAATCAAGAGAATCGTTTCGAATTCAAGACAATCCTAAAGAATCTAAAAAAATGCGAGATAGTTAGAAACTACGAAAAATCCAAGTGAATCGGAGAGAATTCGAGAGAATCCGGAAGAATCCGAAATAATCCCAAATACCCCCAGAGAATACGGTAATATCGGAAAGAATTTGAAAGAATCCAACCGAATCCGAAAGAATCCGAGAGACTTAGAGAAAATCCGAAAGAACAAATTAGAAAAAAAATTCTAGAGAGTCGGAAAAATCTGGATGAATACGAAAAAATCCGAGAAAGTCCTAGCTAATCCGGTAAAATCCGAAAGAAAATGCAAAAGTCCAAGGGAATCTGAAAGAGTACAGGAGAATACGAAAAAATCCAGGAGAATGGAAAATAATTCGAGAGAATCCGAAAGATTCCAAGAGACTCCTAGAGGATCTGAGAGAATCCGGGCGAATGTGGGAGAATATTAAAAAATATGAAAAATCCAAGAGAATCGGAGAGAATCCGGAGAAATCCTAAAGAATCCGGAAGAATCCGAGAAGGTACGAAAGAATACGAAAAAATGTGGGAGAATAGAAGATAACTAATTCGACAGAATCCAAAAGATTCCGAGAAATTCCTATAGAATCCGATAGAATCCAAAAAATCCGAGAGAATCCTGACGAATACGGGAGGATATTAAAGAATATGAAAAATCCAAGATAATTGTTGAGAATTCGACAGAATCCGAAAGTCCGAAAGAATACGGAAGGATACTAGAAATTACGAAAAAATCCAAGAGGGTCGGAGAGGATTCGGAGAAATCCTAGAGAATCCGGGAGAATCCGAAAGAACGCAGAAGAATTCGACAGAATACAAAAAAATCCATGAGAATCCGAAAGAATATCGAAGAATACTAGATACGAAAAATCCAAGAGAATCTTTGAGAATTCGAAAGAATCGGGAAGGATCCAAAAAAATCCGGAGGTCTTAGAAACTACGAAAAAATCCAAAAGAAGACGAAAGAATACGGAAAAATCCAGAACAATCAGAGAATTCCAGAGATCTCGAATGATTTCCAGAGGTCAATTTATAAAAATCTTATTTCTGAAGAAGTTGATACATAAATCTTACCCAAATTACCATAAAGTCTTTGTCATTCTGCCTCTATTCGTGTTAAAATTTTACTTTTATATATTAAAATTTCATAGTAAATCGGTGTATTTCTTGAATTTTCATAATTTTAAAACACCTAATGAACACACAATTTCTAAAAAAAAATGATTTGAGAAGAATTCTAATTCTAATCGAAAAGATGATTCTAATATACAGAGTGTTGATAAAGTTCCGCACAAAATTCAAAATTCTCTTCCGCATTCTTGAAACATCCTCGGACAGGTCAATTTTATTTTAGAATGACACTTATTCATCAACCTTTTTTTAAATGGGAACCCT